TTTGGCTGATGCGTTTTTCACTCCCATACCGATTTCGTAAAAGATAATCATTTTGAATTGAAATAATTTATTCGAGAGAAAAATGCATCAGCGAAACAGCAGACGAGAAAATACATCCAACACATCCGCCGGATAAATGTAAAAAATGGATTAAAATTGAAAGAAAAAAAAATCACGATTTTCATTTTAATCTGAGAAATTCTTTTGCTATATGAATTTCATCCGAAAAAAAATCCCTCTCTCAATTCCTTTGACGATTCAAATGGTGGAAACTTGCAATCGTGTAAATTTTCACTGGGAGAAAATCAATTTGATTTTATTTGATCAACAAAAACCTCAAGCAATTTAATGAAATTGTTTGTGTTGTGAGTGGATTTTGCTGCTTGATTGAAATGTGTTTATGTATCTGACTGGCAATCTATTTTGGAATCATGTCAAAAAAAAAACATGTCAAGTTGCAAGGCAATATAGTGGGAATGAAATGTGGGCGGTTTTCATAAAAATTGCATGCATATGCATGAACATTATTCTCTTTTTTCTGCTGAATCCGAACCATCGAAAATCATATCACTAAAATATGACGCACCGACGAATATTAGTTTGCTAAAGTGAATGAAATAAAGTTTTGTGCATACATTTGGGTTTGTTGACTTTTCTGCTTAACCCTTTGATGCACAATTTTTTGTTTTTGAATTGTTTTGATATATGTTTTGTGCCACGATAAATAGAGAAAGACCTCATACTTAGATTTTTGAAAAATTGCGTATTTGTCGAGAAAATCGGAAAAGAGTAAAAAGTGTCAAATCACTATAAAAGCTTGAAAAAATTAAATTTCATAAAACTAATGATGCAGAAAGTCAAATTGATGTGTTTTGGTCCTAAGAGTCCCAATTTGACAATTGAAAAGAATCTACAAACCCACAAGATAAGAGGAGGAAAAATGTGGAATTCTGCTAAAATTTCGCATTTTTTTTTACAGCAGTACATGAACAGAAAAAACTTTCCATTCAGCTAACCAATTGTAGCCTGTATACAGGCTTTACTTTATAAAGTATCAAATGAAAGCTAGTTCGATTCCCTCCATTTGTTTCCAAACAAGAATGCACAAATATTTAGTGGTTTCATAGCTATAGCGTCTGGCGTATCTGGTTACTTTAGGATCACAGGGTTAAGTTTTATAATATATATGAAACCGAATTTCGTACAATTTTCATTTACCAGTAATGTACCACCGAAACCACCATGCTCGACTCTTTTTTTTCTGCTTCTTCTGCCACATGGTGAAAACGAGAAAACTTTGGAATGGAATAGACGACTGTCGACAGTTTTGGATAAGCCAAAAATTTCATTTTCGATAAAAGCGTGCCATGACTGGCACTGAGTATCGCTTAAAAAGAAATCAAAATTCAATTTCGGTGCATTTATTTGACTGATTCAAAGCTGAGCTATGAATTATGGGCTGGTTTGACCTTGGAGTGCTGGCCAAAAATCACATCCGTTTGAAGGAAAGACAGAGAGAGAGAGAGAGAGGAAGAGGGAGAGATGTGCATGTATTTGATTTACGACTAACAAATGTAGATTGCTCTGGTTTGTTTTGATTTCAGATCGTCATAATTCATTTCGAGGGATTTGATGCTATTATGGGAATTAAGTGATATCCAAACGCGTCAGCACATAAGCCATTGAATTTATTTATGTTGCGGAATATAGATTTAACCAGTTGTTGTCACGCATATATATATATATATATATATATATATATCCTAGTCGATTGAATGAGTCGCCCGTAATTTTCTCCATTATCATATTAGTGGGATTGTGCCAATCGGATGATTACTAATTGCTAACATAACATTATTATCATCATTTGCACATGTTCATGCTGAACAATAAAAATCGATTTGTGCACACACACACAAACACACTCCCACCCACCACTTGGCTATCTCTTTGCATTCGAATCGTGGGTGAAGCTTAAGGGCTTTGAATTGAATACATTACTTCAAATTAAGCGACGTTAAATCGTTCGTACACGACAAAAAAGACAATGAAAATCCATGTAAATCACTCGTCACAACTGCGGAGCCTGCGGTGAAATAGGAACATTATTCAGTTCATTGAAAATATTTGTACATCATTGAGAATCATGAACAACACAGTGAAGCGCAATGGTAATATATTCAGCAAATCCAAAACTGTTCAGAGTTCAGTTTGCATTGATTTTATCCGTATCGAAAGATCACTGACTTGAACCATGAATGACGTTTAAAATGTCATTTCTGACAAATGCCATTTCCAACATTTGGATTAACCTTATGATGAAAGCATTTACTTATACCTCCAAATTATACCGTATAGATGCCGTTAGAGTATTCGTAGCTGGGTATTTTCCATTTACAGCGCACTTTGTTGATCATGAAGTTCTTTGGGCGAAAATAAAAGTTTATTTTAAGCTATTTTGAATGGAAATAAGCGAACTCATGATATTACTCATGGGACGGAATTTCAAGCATGGGAAATGAAAAGTTCAACTCCAGAAGGAAAAGAAAAGTCTTTCGAGTTTCATTGTGGATACGGATTCTAGAGTTTCATTGATGTTTTTGCTTCTTTGTTCTATTTTTGGGCGCCGAAAATACATACTCCACCATTTTTTTCCTCATCAGCAACAAATTGATAAAATCATATAATTAAACCGCGAAAATTGGTGCAATTAGTCAGCGCGCACGCCCGTCATTCGGCAGAATTTCGGTTACACCCTGTTCATCAAATGATTGGAATCTTTCTAGTAAAAATTCCGGCTATGTGCTACATTATATTCACCGAAATAGTTGGCATTTTGGCGTTTTGTGTTATGCGAATCGACGTTTCAGCTTCAAGTGAAACAAACACAAAGGACGAATCGGTTTTAATTCGTTGTTCCACTTGAAACGATGGCCTCATTCCATAGCCACGCCAAAACTAATGCAAACGTTCCGTTAATCCCGAAAAATACTTGAGTAAATTAACTTGGAGTGTGCGAGAGAGTGTGAGTGAGTTTTCCGACAAGAAGTTGAACTTATTGACGCAGAAATTAATGAATATTCGCATCGGATGTGCGGAGGAGAACACGAGCGTCATTTGCATTGCGTGTCAATAAGAACAACAACGGATGTCTGTCAAGAGAGTTTCTCGCTGATTGACAGCATCGATAAAAAGCTGCCAACATATTTTCCTTTCGTTCGACATTTTTTTTAACACAAAATATAATTGAATGGGTGCCATGTTCAACAAGCAAGGCAACTGCCGCCATTTCTGCCGTCTGCCGTGGCTGTGACGCAGAAATAGTTTTAATAACACCGAGACGACCATAATTAAATAGGTCACATCTCGCAAGGAACGCAGCAAACATTCTTGTTGAACAATCGCTGTCCGTATTAAAATAATCCTTTCTTCTACTTTTCGTTGCTCATTTTCGTCGCCCTTTCTCTGGCAAAATGCAGTCAACATTAATTTATATCTGCCGTTCGTAACATCAAGCATATTTGTAGGATATCAACATTTTCTGGACGTAATTAGTTTTTTTTAATAGACTCGTTTTTTTCACTCTCTCTCTCTCTCTCTCTCTCTCTCTCTCTCTCTCTCTCTCTCTCTTTCTCTCTCTCTCTATGTGTGTGTGTGTTTGCGTGGACCATTTGCATTTTATAAAATGTTCTACGGAAACTCGTCCTACTCGACGAGACAAATAGTTTCGAAACAATTATGTTCGCTACTTAAATTTTATGGCTCTCTATTGTATGCCAAACGGATTGATGATGCTACTACGACTACTGTTTAATGCCACCGCTGCTTCTGATGCGTCTGTTGCTGCTGCTGCTGCACAAGTGCCACCACTAAAAATTCAGCCAAAGTATCCCATCGAAATTGACTATGGTCATTGTTATGGCGTCGCAGCTTTCTCTCTCTCTCTCTCTCTCTCTCTCTCTCTCTCTCTCTCTCTCACCCTCTCCAAGTGTCGTATAATCCAATTAATTCGAACGAGCGCAAACAAAGTGAAATAAATTATATTAAATTGCAATACACACAGAGAGCCAAAGGGCCGCGTTTTGGCATATAATCGTTAGGTTTTAAGTGACATTTTCCAGTTGACTCGATTAAAATGTGATTGGTTTTAAGGCGAAAAATCGCACTTTTTATGACGATTTTTTCTCATTTGATTTTTTTTTGTTCGCTTTGCAATTTAATTTAAGTTTTTATACTCTTCGCACTATGTTTGTGCTCAAGCCTCTTTTTAATTCATTCCAATTATTTCATTTTTTTTATTCGAGTTTTTTTCTCTTTCTTAAATCACGCAGTGACGAGACTTACTCAATATAACTGAGTCAATAGCCCATGGAGGTTACATTTCAAGCTTTTTTAAGCCAAATAACTCTGTTTCTTTTTAAATCTTTTTCCGTTTTTCTCTGATATTTTCTTCTTTGTCGAATTTCTCATTTTTTCCACTTTTTTCAAATATTCTAATATTAAATTTCAATTTATTGTCACCTCATTCCATTGCTATCGTTCAAATTTCAATTTATCATCCACATCAAAGAAGAAAACACAGTTTTTTGTACTCTGTTTGCATTGATTCTTTTCATTCGGCCCTCAGCATGTTATTTCGTGTTATAAATTCATGCATTTAATATGATAAACATTTTATTTATCTCATAACAAATCTCAATACGAAAAGAATGTGTGAACATCTCTATACCGACCGAATGCTTTTACATATATGGTGTGCCGCAAAACACATGTGTTGCCGATTTTATTTTCGATACGCCGACAAAGTGTGTATCCGATGTTATGGTTTTATGCTTTTCCCATGCAAAATGTTGTGCCGGATAAAATTAAGATTTATTGCACTCTCGTTAATTTTAATCACATCGTAATGCATGTTCATTCATATCAATTTCATAATATGTATTTTATGAGTACTCTTGTTGTTGTTTGCCTTTGACAATGTCTCTCTTTTCTTTTCGCAGATATGGGCACTAATCTGATTTTGGATATTTCAACGCCGCCAATGCCGCTTAACACTGCCATTTGTTACAGTTTATGCCGTTAAATGCAAATAACTAACAATAGAGAAGATAGCACCACCATCGAGACCAAGTACAAAATATACGAGTAAAAGTGGTGAAAAAGGAATTTTCACGAATTAAACGAGAGAAGAAAACATTTGAACGAAAGGGGTAAAGAGGAGAAAAGAGAAGAAGAAAAAGCCCAAAACGCGAAGGAAACGTGAAAGTGTAGGAAAGCAGAGGGAAAGGTGAAGTCGACAGAGAAAACAGAAAGAAAAGACTAAACGAGTGGCACAGAGCAAATGTAAAAAGAATGTGAGAGAAAGAGCAAAAGGAAGAATAAGAGCAAAAAAAACTACAGAGATTGAGAAATAGCGTTGAAGATCGAAAAGTCGAACGAGTTGAAGGAAAAAACAGCGGAAGAACGAAATGCCGATTTTAGCTCCATCAAGAGTGTGAGTGAGTAAAAAGTTGTGTGCGAAAATATTTGTGTTACCAAAAAAGGAAACAACAACACAACGAAATAACAAACTGAGTGGTGAACGTTCGAAATACGGTGTAATCAATCTTGTCCGTAAACAGTTTGACGACAAACTTAGTTTAACAAGTTTCAAAAAGAATTGTTCAGTCAAGCGTAATCAAATACAACGGGGCAAACAATTGGAAAAGCCTTGGAGAAAATGGTGGAGACTCGTGCAAATGCACGCTTCATACGTTTCGCGTAGTGTGAATTTGAGTGAAATTAATCAAGACGGCGGAAATCGTCACGGAAGCAATTTTTGGCCATTTTCTTCGATTCCCGCTTCATTCTTTTTGGTGTGTAAAACAAATATGAATGCTTTGGTTGCGAGCATTTTTGGGCAATATTTCATTCGGCGCAGCATCATCATATTAATAAAGTGAAATAACAGACACACAGACACACACACACACACACAGACACACACACACAGACACACACACACCCAAGTGTGTGGGGCCGAAGAAGCGATTTATCCAAATAATTTAAACTTGGGTTTGGCATGGGATGGGTGAGAGGACTTTGCGTCCTGCTCACCATAAGCGTCAATGTTGGCGTTCGAATGGCAGTTGAACCGACGGCTTCATCAATGCCAACATCGGTGTCGAGGTCAACTCATCCGTTCGAAACGAGCACCAAATACCAGCCATTTCAATCAACCAAAACAGCAACGCCGGCTACTACAACAACAACAACAACAACGACGACGACTACAACGCAAATAACAACAACGACACAACGGACGCACAAAACCATCACCACCAAAGCGAAACATTCAATGAGCGAATCGGTGGTGATTCTACCACCAAATTCAGAACGACAAGCTAAAGATGCTTACGACAAAGCACTGGAACAGTTTGATTCGTATGGTGTTTCAACGCGACAAATGTGCGCAGTGTGGGAAAAACGCGGCTGCCAATGCTCCGGTTCCATCGAAGAACTAACCTTATCATGTCGAGCCATCGGCTTGAACGAAACACCAACCGAGCTACCAAAGAATTTAATCAAACTGTAAGTTTTACATTTCCAATGACAGCAACATTTTCGCTATTTTCGTTTTTAATGGGATTTTTCCATCACATACACTCACACAGGGATCTTGGTAACAACAACATTACGACGCTGCCAAAAAAATCCTTCGAAGCTGTACCTCATTTAGAAGAACTGTAAGCTCATTACAATTTCTCTTTAGATTTCGATTGGAGGAGGGACTTTTCCTTGATTTTTTTCATTTCTCTAATTAGCTTTATTTTCCATGGCAATTTTTATACAATTCCATTATTAATAATTACAAATCGTAATTTACGATGAATGGAATTGAAAATTTATTTTTTGTTCTTGATCAAAATTAAACTAAGTCCCATTTTCTTTGATTTCAGCATACTATCCGACAATAGTTTATTACATATTGATTCAGATGCATTTATAGGATTAAATAAACTAAAACGTTTATCATTACATAATTGTGGCCTTTCTGCTGTACCCGGAAAAGCTTTAAACCATCTCAAAAATTTGAATGCATTGTAAGTATTTTGAATGCCGATTTTTCTCGTTTTCAATTCAACTGCATTGGTTTTAAAAGGAAATATGCACAGTTATTTTGCTGCAATGCCAATCCCGTGCGCAAAAGTATTTTTAATTCGAATTCTAGCCTTAATTTTCAATCTATGACTTTCCAAGCCCATCGACGAATTTAGAATCGAATGTCCTTATATTTGCAAGTAGAATACAATTTTTTTTACAGTGAGCTCGATTTAAGCCGCTTAAATGTTTGCAGCAACTTGAATGTCCAAAGATCGAGAATTGTCTGTAAATATCGAAAACCTACGCTCAAAGCCGAATTCATGGCAGAAATCGAACTCATGGCTCAAGTGTTGCGATAGATTTGATTTTTTTCACTTTTTAGCTCGCCACTCAGAAGTGAGAATATTTCCAAACATATCCAAAGTACTATATTGAAGCTTGAGTTGAATTTTAACCCTCAATCGCTCACCCGGGTCTGGCCAGACCTTTTTCGTTTTTGATCGTTAATTTAACACATTTCTAGTTTAGCTAGCGACTTGAGTTTTAAGTTACCTGCCTAAAATTTCATTGGCTATCGATCTAACAAAAGATCCATTAAAAAAGACCTTAAAAAGGATGAAATAAGGATATACAAAAACTACACCTTCGATCGCTCACCTCGGGTCTGGCTGGACCCCTATGTATTTGTATGCATTTGTATGGGAATAAGGTATGCATGCCATCTCATTTTTCACGAGACTGATAAAAGATAAGTGATATCTGTCTTCAGCAAAGTTATAGAGCAGGTCAAGTACTACAATTTATTTCAGTTCACCATCTCCTTATCTCTTGTAAGTGATAACTGTCTTCGACAAAGTGGTGGGGCAGATAAAGTACTACAACTTTACCCAGAGCATAAATTCGTTGTCTCTTATCAGTTGCGCGAAACACCGCGAAAAACGTAAGATATCTCTTATCATTTTTCGCGGAACTGATAAGAGATAAGGAGATGGCGAATAGAAAAAAATTGTATAACTTGACCCGCTTAATAACTTTGCTGAAGACAGTTATCACTTATCTTTTATTAGTCTCATGAAAAATAAGATGGCATGCATACCTTATTCCCATACAAATGTATACAAATACATAGGGGTCCAGCCAGACCCGAGGTGAGCGATCTAAGGATTTTAAATATGTGAATGAAGGAGGGTAAAACCAATCCGCTTTGCCAAAACTTGTGCTTTCGAACTGGAGCTTTACGCATAATCGGATTGCGTTTTTCGGAATTTCTAATTTTGAGTTTTCATCATTCATGTTTTAAATGCTTCATCATGTATTTTATTTCCGTATTTAGCTCAAACTTTAAGCACAAAATTCCGCGCACATATACACATTTTCAACTTTGTAACCCCACACACAAATTTTCAACAGATATCAAACATATTTCAGTCGATTTACACGCATAAACAAGAGCGAGACAATATTCTGCAAATGGTTCAATTTGGCTCGATTGAAAGTGTAGCATTTAGATACCAGCAAGTCGTTTTATTTCAGTTATTATAGTCACATTAATCTATAAATAAGTGGGGGTGAAAAAGCTTTCCATGAACAAAGAACACCATTCATTTCACCGCCGAAATGTGTGTGTTGTACCACCACCGCAAGCACACGTTGTGTCTGAAGCAACAAAAATCACAAAGCATTTAAATAGACGCAGTCTCTCTCTCTATTGTATTGTCGCTGAGATGATTGTGATGATAGCGTCGGGAGTGATTTAACCGATTCAATCTGTTGTGTATCTCAATGTTTTGTTTGGGTTTCAAACTCTTTCTTATGACTTGTTTTAAACTCGATTCGACTCAAATCGGGTGGTTGCTTGCAAAGGAAAAAGCACTTGAACACACAGAAACATATACAGCGCACAACACACACTCAAAGCACAGTGAGCTTGAAATGAAATCAGAGAAAACAATTGAACAAGAGCAATGAAACTGATTACCAGACATATAAGACAAGTATTAAAATGATATGAGAGGTGAAAAGTGCGTGTAAACTTACACGCAACACATTTAATTTTTATGTGTATGTTGCCATAAAATGACATCTAAATCGACGCGAAATGGCTAATTCGTCCCATACGGCTACTTTCGTTCGGGTAACACAATCATATGAGCATTGCCATCGTGGAACGATTACAGCAATTCGACGAGAGGGAGAAAAAAACAACACTCACGAGATGCTTTTGACCAAATCATGGTTAGTAATCAGCAAAAGGAACGATTTTCGTGTCGACAATAACACTCGAATGTGGTACAGAAGTAGAAACAAAAGATGGAGAAAAAAGAAATAAAAAAGAATTGCAGACGACGAAATTTGCACTAAAGACATAATTGCATCGAATGTACGCTCCGATTATCGTCTTGGTCGTTATGACTTTTCATGACGCAGCGACGAGAAGAATTCTCAACAATTAGTTTGATTCAATAAAATGCTCTAAAATTACTCGCATCCAAAGAAAAATTAAATTCATTTGCCCTTCGAGGCAAACTCTTTTACCAGGTCACATTCACACACACACACACACACAAACACATAACGTGAGCTTTGTTATCGGATCACCGCTTTGAAAACGACTTTCATTGCTAATTAAATAAAGAAACCAGCGAGAAAAATGCAGTTAAAAAAGTCGTAATCAATTGTTATTTTCTACTCGGGAGAATTTTTGAAAAATATCAACGATTTTCATAGGTTTGTCAACGATTGACGGAAATACTTGGCAATTTGTAGGAAGAAAAACTCTTATAATTGGCTTTTGTCGCTGAAACGCTATTTAACTTGACGTAAATATTTGAGTCTTCTCAAAGCAACGGATTTCCTTTGCGGTTGATAACAATACACTGTTTTGTAATGAAAAATCCTTTTGGCGTTTTTGGCTACAAAGTACTCTTTTGCCACTCAAGCTCTCTCTCTCTCACTTACTCGCTTCACTCTGAAGTACTTGCGTTTCTTTTGCTTTTCGGAAACTTTTCTGTTTCGTTCCATGTTTGCCACCGAATTGTTCCGGTAGTGGTTTTGTATTGTTGAACATTCAACATAAACTGACTTGTTGACGGAGAGAAACGAAGAAATGGGGCGCAATAAACAGCATATGCAGCAGAGCAATTCAATCAAAATTCTGGATAGCGTGTCCCCATGCAGAAAATATGATAGGATGAAAAATGTCTTACAGGACGGTAGTGGTGGTGGTGGTAGACAGTTGTTCTGTGATAAAAGTCATCGAGTCGCTTTCGCTCACTCTCTCTCTGACAGAGAGTCTCTGTCTCATGCAACAAAACAAATAAATTCGTGCAATCTTTGCTCAACTTCGTCATAACTCAGATGTAAGATAAACGATTTTTATTGGCAACTTTTTGTATATGTTATTTATTCATTCGAATTTATCACATAAATGCCATTCTCCTCTTCAAGTGCTTTGCTCGTTGGATACGAGGGGGGGTTAAAAGAGCCTTTGCTTGAAATCACTTGAACATAAAGATGTGTAATCATGAATTTATTCTGATGTTTTTATTGTATCTCATTGCTTCGATCGATGTGCTAGACAACTAGACAATAATGCAGTTATGCATTTTGACGGTATTTCCTTGGCGCAACTGAAGAGTCTACGGGCACTTCGACTCGAAGGAAATATGCTACAACGGGTGCCAACCGAAATATTGACCGGCTTACCAACACTAGAAATATTGTGAGTTTATCTTTCACTGCTTGTTTCATTGTTCCCGAATTGATATATTCCTCATTCCAATCCAAAAAATTCGAAATTGTTTCTGTTTTCATTGCATTTCTCGTGTTTTTTCCCTTTATGAAAATTCGTTATCTTCTCTCTCTCCACTGTGTGTTTTTCGTTTTGGTTTGTGTTCCGGGGGGGGGGGGGCCTCGATTGGGACATGAGCTCTCGGCAATAGAAAAAAACACACACACATTGGAAATTGATATTAAAATCTACTTTTTCATCAAATTTTGGTAAGAAAAGGCTTTGAAATTTGGCATGCAACTGACACGGATGACAAAAATTGGGTATAAAGAAAATAATTGAAAAATAAAAACATTTGGAAAACTTTGTAATCAATATCGGTATCGCAGAAAGTGTCAAAATTCGCATCAAATTGGCAATTGAAAGAGGATGAATTTTATTCATGAAAATTTTGCGCATTTTGAATTAAAAAACTATATCATTCCAACTATTTTCTCTTTGTCTCTCTCTCTCTATCTATTTTCTATGTTGTGTTCAATTGGTAACTAACAAAGTTCTTGGTGTATCCATTTTTTATTGTATCCCATTCCATTATTATGTGTTGATCCACTAACAACAAAAAACACGCACAATGTGCGATTGATTGTATCGAGTGTGAAACTGGCAAATAAAAGGGAAAACAACCACCACACAAAAAACTTGGCTGCATGTATTTTTTTTTTCATATTCATTGAAAAAGAAGAAAAAGAAAGAGTTTGGAGCGACAAAAATCTATCTCTCTAGAATACAAATGAGATTCTCGTTCATATTTTCCCATTCTTTTTTGTTCCATTTTTTTTCTCTTCTTCTTGTTATGTGTGTGTTTATTTGGATGGTCATAACATGAAAAGAAAAGTGTTTATAATATTCGAATGACTAACATTGCGGTGTATCATCGAACCACGCATTCAACTTATTTAATCCGATTTGTTTTCATTTTGAACATGTTTCGTGTTTGGTTTTTTTCATTCCTTTCGTTCTTTCTCTTCATCTATTATCTGTGTGCACAGAAATTTAGGAGGCAATCATCTACTTAATATAAACGTTGGAGATTTTCCAAAATTGGACAACTTGCGATATCTGTAAGTATTTCCATTACTTTCTGAAGTTTCTGGCAAAGTTTTCTTATTTTTGCCGGTTTTATCAATGGACGACTCATTTCATCTGCAATCACATCAACATCCAGTGTTGGAAAATATTAAACAATTTATTACGTCTTTTTCTCATCATTTTTCTCTCACACTCTCTGTCGATTCGATGCAACACTCGAAACTCATTCCAAATTCCAGCACCCTGAAAAGAAATCGTCTGACAAATGTAACAGCCGATGCGATAAGTAATTTATTCAACTTAAGAATTCTGTAAGTAGCTCCCTACTATTGGATTATATTGGAAATATTCACTCACTTGAAAGTTGAATAGAATGCCAATTTCATTAAAAAAAAATTTGCTACACTCTTTCTGAACTATCTTCATTTTGGATTTTGAACATTTCTCTTTACGAATATTTTTGTTTTTGCGTTTTTCATGCAATTTTTTCATTTTTGTCGCAATATACTTTACTACATTTGCCACTTAAATTTTTTTCTTCTTCCGGTGACGTAAATTATTCGTCTTATTTCCATTTATAGCGACCTGGATGATAATTCACTTACGGTGATACCGAACAAATTGGGACAATTGTCAAACCTTCAGGAATTGTAAGCCACTTAAATCGAATTCCATCGACAACTCAATAAATCCATGATACATTTAATGCGATTTCGAATAATTTTTCGTGCAGATTTTTATCGGGAAATCGAATAAATACCATACTCAGAGATGATCTTCCAAAAAATCTAATTACATTGGAGTTGCGGGGCAATCCATTGGGTGATATTAAATTTGATGCGCTTCAAAGCATGCCAAGACTGAGGAAACTGTAAGTTTTAATTTTATCGAATTTGAATATCTTACTTAGTAAGAGTGAAGTCAAATCGGAATTCTATGTTTTCTCCAAGTCTATGAAAAAAAATTGCGAATAAAATCAGAACTCAGATCAAACGCTTGAATAATATAGTAACTCAATCCTATATAGTCCACGATGATCGCTTTCCATACGTGATAAATTTATGCGAAATATTGTATTCATTTTTTTCTTCTCGTCGTTCAAGGGTTTTATCGGATGCCAAAAGTTTAAGTGAGCTGCCAACATTCGATGGGTGCCCAGCACTCGAAATTCTACGAATGGATCGAGCCAACGTTTCCGTGTTACCAAATACTCTTTGCCGAAATTCGTCACGCTTGAAAAGCTTGTAAGTTCAACCAATTCATTCGCGTATTGTTTTCAATATATTTTTATCGGCTCCAATGATGTTCAATCGCTGTTCATGTTTGCATTTTTTTTTCGATTTCTCACATTTTTCCCATCGCTTCTGGAGGTTTTTTTTCCTCCGTTATTTTCTTTTTCCACTTTTTATTACTCTGTTCATTTTTTCCCTTCCTTCTTATTTTGCTCTCTTTTGTACACGCTTTTCCACTCTCTCACCCTTTTTTATCGCTTTCTCCTGTTTACTATTGGTGTTTCACTCTTTTTTTCCTTCTCTTCTATCCTTCTCTTATTTCGTCCATTCACTTTCTATTGCTCTATATTCTGTTTCTGCCCCCTCCCTTTTGTCGTTTCAATGCATTTCTCCAATATAATTACTCTATCTTCTTCTCGCCCACTCGACTCGCCAGAGAATTGAAATCGAATAAGCTGAGGAATGTTCCCCATTTGTCACACTGCAAAGATTTGCGAATATTGTAAGTAAATCGTGCACTTCAGTTCAACATTCAATTCCCTTGAATGGGACATTTTACGTCATCTACCTCAGTGCAATAGCAATAAGCTCAACACTATAACCATTGTGGCGTTCGGTTTTTTTTTCTTCTGTTTTTCCTTTTCTTCACAGAGATTTATCCGGTAATCGAATCAGTTCAGTACACGAAACACCATTCAGAGGTTTGGGTCAATTGCATGATTTGCTGTTGTCGTACAATGAAATCGAAACAATTCCACGAGATGCATTTGACGGTGCGCCAAGGCTGCAATTACTGTAAGCTTTACAAAAACAACCAATTTATACACTGATTTGCTACAATTTGTACCAAATAAATCGATTATTTAACTGAGTTTTTTTTGCACAATTTTCTTTCCTTGACTCATTCACTCTCTCGTTTGTTCTCATTGCAGAGATTTAGAGGGAAATAAAATTTTCTTCATTCATGAAGATTCATTCACCGTATTCGAGCAACTTGAAGATTTGTAAGCATTACATACAATTACTATACTTTAGTGGAAAGTTTCCTTGCGCTCTTCCACTTCGTAATGAAGTACCGAATGATACGAGGGTTTCGAAAACATTTTTGATAAATGGAACCCATAAAAAACATCTTTGATCATAGAAAACATAAAATAAATGGCTGTTTTGATAAAAATCTGCATTTTGCATTTATAGGAATTTGGGCAATAACATCTTCCCAACGCTGCCAAAGAATGGATTGCAAAGTGTGCGCCATTTAAAAACGTTCAACAATCCAAAGCTACGTGAATTTCCACCACCAGAAACATTTCCACGCATTCAGGTGAGAGAACGCTTGATCATTGTTTACTGCTCTCACAATTCGAAGTGGGCAAACCGTCAGAAGTAGTACGGCAAAATAACAAATTGCCGAAGTAATTTTTTCATTGGAGGTAAAATGTTGAATTACCACCAATGTTTTTATTCGGTAGGTAAATTTGAATTCAGTGGAAAAAAGCCGCTATTAGGGCATTTGAAGAGTGATAAAACATACCAAACACGTATAATTGTTGGGAAATAAATCTTTTTGATTGTTTTTATCAAATTTTCATCAAATTTGTTGCAGCAGTGAACAGTGAATTGAATCTAAATTCCAAATGGCACAAAACATTAAATTCTTAACAACAATCATCTCGAATCATCTTTGCAACACGAAAAAAGGCTAATTGAATTTGCTATTTAGCCTTCTTCGGCTATTACACAATACGATTTGCAACGATTCCTGATTTTGTTTTCATCTTTTGACAATCGGTTGTCATCACACTGAATGTTTCATGCACAATCGTGTTTCCTCACACCAACGTGATCACACACAATATGAACGCAAACAAACGAAGTGTGTGCAAGGAATTGTCACATTCAAAGGGTACAACAGCGCCGGTTGAAATAAATCACAGACAGCTAAATTGGTAGCAAATGAGCTTGGCAAATGAGTGGGCAAAGGTTCGAATTCCATGATGGAAATTTTTTTTTATTCTTAATGTGTTCATTCTTTTCCGATGGCCTTTGAATGTGGCAATTCCTTGCACACACTTCGTTTGTATGCGTTCATTGTGTGTGATCACGTTGGTGTGAGGAAACACGATTGTGCATGAAACATTCAGTGTGATGACAACGGATTGTCAAAAGATGAAAACAAAATCAGAAATCGTTGCAAATAGTATTGTGTAATAGCCGAAGAAGGCTAAACAACAAATTCAATTAGCCTTTTTTCGTGTTGCAAAGATGATTCGAAATGATTGTTGTTAAGAATTTAATGTTTTGTGCCATTTGGAATTTAGATTCAATTCACTGTTCACTGCTGCAACAAATTTGATGAAAATTTGATAAAAACAATCAAAAAGATTTATTTCCCAATAATTATACGTGTTTGGTGTGTTTTATCACTCTTCAAATGCCCTAATAGCGTCTTTTTTCCACTGAATTCAAATTTACCTACCGAATAAAAACATTGGTGGTAATTCAACATTTTACCTCCAATGAAAAAATTACTTCGGCAATTTGTTATTTTGCCGTACTACTTCTGACGGTTTGCCCACTTCGAATTGTGAGAGTGTTGATGTTTGATTGGATTTTGTGTGTGTTTAATAAAACACAGTTGTGAGTCCACAGTCCATACATGTGGTACGCAAAGCGAGGTGCATAGCACACATAATGTGTAAGACACATTCATTCAAAAAAAAAAAAAAATGAAAATGTCTGATATGCGGCGCTTTTTCAGCTTAGGCCACTAGATGACATGAGATGATTTAACCAGGAAATGAATGTGCTGTGATTTCATTTTTAATTAAACATTCCGACTTTTGTTTTCCGATGTTTTTTTTTCTCTTTTCATCAAACTTTTAATTCCCGTTTTTCGTTGTGTATTTTGCCATTGAAACTGTTTGATTCGGTGTTGTTTTGTCTCTGACAGACGCTGGTGTTGTCATATGCGTATCATTGCTGCGCTTTTCTTCCTCTTGTCACCATGTCAAGCACGCCAAAAACACATCCAATCCAGGAGACCATTCTCTTTCCAACTGACAGCAAATTCGACATGAGCCTGTGGAATAGCAGCCAAACGGATATCTGGCCACAATTGCGTGAGTTTTTTGTTTTGTTTTAATTCCGTATTTCACACCCATGGTCGTTTGTTGCGTGCGTCATAAGGTCATGCGTCATGGATGCATGCTCGTTTGATATTTTCATATTCATTCCAATCATTTTGTCAATATCACATTCATCATAGCAGCGCGCAACTGCATCAAATTAATTGTTTGACATGAGATCCCACTTGAAATTTAATCAACATTCACTTGAGTGTCGATGAATGCATCAAATGCACTTGTGAAAATTTGCAAAATCACTCAAATGAATGTCGCAATATTGATTTAACGCCTTTGTCATTTGAACAACCTTTTTTTTACCACACAGATAACTTGAGCAAAAAGTTTGGTAGTCAAATTAATGAACTGTGGGATTCGTTCGGGCAAGACTTTACGTATCCTGGAAATTTGCCAGCTTATGCGGAAGAATATTTCGAAGAAGAAATGTCACCAACAAAAGCGCTGAATGGAGATATAATGACTGGCTCCGTGCAATGTTTGCCGCTGCCAGGTAAACAAAGATGACATTAATTTAGTGTTTTATGGTCTTTATTTGCGACTACTTTTCTTTCGGTGTATATTTTCTCGAAGAGACTTGATCACTTGGGCACGCAGTTCTTCGTGTCGTTTTCCTGCTTTTCTCGTCCTTTAAAATGTTTTTTTGTTTCTCATTTCGTCTTCTTTATTCTATGTTTTATTTTCTCTCTTTTGTTTTTATCTTTTTTTCATTCGTTATTTTCTCTCTCGTTCCATCTATTTCCACCAAACGTTTATCTCTACCTGCATTTTTCTTTCGTACTTTTAAATTGTCTAAACTTACAATTTTTCCCATTCATTTCTGCACCAAAATCAATTTCTAGGGCCATTTTTGCCATGCCAAGACCTGTTCGATTGGTGGACGCTGCGGTGCGGTGTATGGGTTGTATTTCTGCTGGCGATGCTCGGTAATGGCACCGTTGTATTCGTGTTGATATTTTCACGTTCGAAAATGGATGTGCCACGATTTTTGGTATGCAATTTAGCAGCGGCCGATTTTTTCATGGGCATTTACTTGGGACTATTGGCTGTGGTGGATGCATCAACGCTGGGCGAATTTCGAATGTACGCAATCCCATGGCAGATGAGTATCGGATGCCAAATTGCTGGCTTTTTAGCCGTACTATCATCCGAATTGTCCGTATATACGTTGGCTGTGATTACATTGGAACGCAATTATGCGATTACACATGCAATGCATTTGAACAAGCGGCTATCACTGCGTCATGCTGGTTACATCATGATATTCGGTTGGATGTTTTCATTTACAATGGCCACATTGCCATTGATTGGTATATCGGACTATCGTAAATTTGCCGTATGTTTACCATTCGAAACAACAACCGGACCGGCCAGTTTAGCATACGTAGTCTTCTTGATGTTCATCAACGGTGTTGCATTCGTTATTTTGATGGGTTGCTACTTAAAAATGTACTGTGCCATTCGTGGTTCACAGGCATGGAATTCGAACGATTCACGCATCGCCAAGAGAATGGCACTTTTAGTGTTTACAGACTTTTTATGCTGGTCACCCATTGCGTTTTTATCGTTGACTGCCGTATTTGGTGTGCATTTAATCAATCTCAATCAAGCGAAAGTATTTACTGTTTTTGTGTTACCGCTAAATTCATGCTGCAATCCATTCCTTTATGCAATTATGACGAAACAGTTCAAAAAAGATTGCGTGCTCATTTGCAAAGCGATTGAAGAATCGCGTGTGACCCGTGGCATTGGACGTTGCAGGCACAGTTCGAATTTCAGTAATCGACAAACGCCAGCCAATACAAATTCACTGGGTGAACGGTCATCAAAAGATATACCACCGTTAACCGCAGGCCAAATTTGTGCTTGTTCAAAACTTTTGCAGCAAAATATCGGCCGAGATGAGCCACCGCCGAAACTTTGGACTCGAGTTTGGAATCGAATCACTTGCACTAAACCGCAAAAGAGATCGGAAATTCGACGGGATATTCGATGCGATCAATATGCATATAAAATCGCCGAAATTCAACAGAAACCATTTAAACGGGCCAGTTCAGTGTCAAGTGATAATTTCAGTTCATCGCGGTCGGATTCATGGCGTCATGGTCCACCACATCATTGTTCAATTCCATTACGGGTTTTAGATACACGTCGCCGACATTCCTCATGGTTAGTTACAAGAAAAACATCACAAGACTCAAATTTATCCAGCTCAAGAAATGACTCATCGGCTTCGGCCACCACAGCCAGCACGTCTACGTTTCGATTGTCACGGTCTAGTGCGGCTAGTTCGACGCCAACACCGTCGATTTCAGGTAAATATCCAATGAAATTGTTACGAATACAGAATGTGCAAAGAAAAAAGTTTAAAAATTTCCAATATATTCCAAAAATATCAAGAAAAGTTAACAATAAAAAAAAATCACATTCACATTAAAAAAAAATCATCAACATTAAAAGTTAACGCTCAAAAAGTTAATCAACGTAAAAAAAAACTAATGGCTTTCAATAAATCAAACAGGCAAATCCTCAGTTGGTTGCACAAAACCGCGACTCGTGCGTCAACAAGCGGTACAGGAAGAAGTGGTCGAGCCATCGTGTTCGTCGCCAAGACTAAGCGTACGCTTTCTGCCAACCATTCCATCCGCGGCCGATAGCAGCGTTATCATCGACGAAGAATCACACAATGAACCAAGCACTGCCAGTTCAGCAAACAACAATAATGTTGGCTCCACATTCTATACCATTCTGCAAAGTGGTAACACCCTCACAACGCTCTCTAGTCCAAAATCAAATAAATTGGATAAACCGCCGTAGGCAAAAGGAAAAATCTAACACATATAAGTAAATCTGATATTTTGTATGTTGTCCCAAAGCCCCAAAACAATTGTAAGTTATACAAGTAGTAGGCGAAATGGCGAAGGGGAGAGATGAAACTTCCAATATTTTGGTAGTTGTTGTGCTTTTTCTCCGAAAAAAACAAAAAAAACCACTTTTTGGTGGTTCGTTTGTGCTTTAACACTTCAGCTTGTGCATATATTCGGCAATATTGATGATAATAATGGGTTTCCAATGTTGAACAGGGTCACATCAACCGTTTGGTAACATCGTAAGCAAAAACTTTGTTGTAGGCGATATGAAATGGTTATGCATCTAATAGGTTTGAGAGAATATCGTGTAAATACGAGCAGAATTAATTGTATATTAAGCTAAGTATACAGTTCCTTGTGAAATGAAAAAATTTCTCCGGTGAAATTTTCACAGGTGATATTTTTATGGTGTTTTTTATTTTCGAATTGCAAGCATAATGATTTTTGATGCATGAAACAGCTAACTCATTTCAATATCAACACGGCACATGAACAAATTTGGTTTTTGAGTTCATTCTTCTATGTGTTTTGTCTAAACAAATTTTTTTTCACGGTCGTGAAAAGTATTTCGCGTGCAAAATGTACGCGAAATTTTTTTCACGGCGGTGACAAAATAAGAAAGATCAAAATACATTAAGAAATGAATTCAAAATTCAAATTTGTTCATGTATTGTGTTGATATTGGAGGGAGTTAAAAAAACACCATACAAATATCACCTGTAAAAATTTCACCGGAGAAATTTTTTCATTTCACGAGGAACTGTGTACTTAGCTTTAGCTCAAGGATTAGACCATCCGCCTGAAAAGTATGCTCTTCGTTCGGAACATTTCTATTAGCACAACGGATTTCGAGCACAATTCATTCGAGTGTTTTAATGGAAACATCGTTTCAAGTGAATGAACGATATTTATTGTCGCCGATCCGTGTGTGTGTGTGTGCGTCGATTACGGGCTGCGATTAAAATAACATTATGTTCCACATGACACAATGATAAATAAGGTTCAGTTCAGTTCACCCTCGATCAACTTCAGAATCCAACGTCTGCACGTGATTTTGCCCGGTTACCAATAAAATGGAAAGTTTTTCTTTCTTCTAATAAAAAATTCATGGCTCAAAGTTCGAGAAAAAATTAATTAGAAAAAAAGTCTAATTAATTGTATCGATCGTTTTTTGCACGCGCTGCTTCTTACATTTACATAGGGATACTTTTTCTTGTTTATTTTCCCTGTTGCTAACTCTTGATACTGATTTCTTTTCGGTTTCCCATGGCGCCCAGAAAAAAAAAGTGCGAAAAAGCATGGTGTATAATGCCGGGCAAAAAGTTTAAGTCGCTTCGGTTCGAATGCTAATGAAATTCGATTTCATTTGCGGTTCGTGCTACGTTTCATGCTACGTTCCATGGTACACTACACACAAACACATAAACATAAACAGATACATTAGTTCACGGGTAATTGATAGAACGAAGTGGATAATAAGCAGGTAATTAAATGCGTCTACTTATTAATTGTTTGCTGTTTGTATTCTTACATCGAATGCATACATTCGTCCGCTTCGGAATCAAATATAGGCGTGTGATTGTGATTTATTCAATTAAATATTTATGACTGTTTGGGAATAAATTTCCGCACAAGTGCGCGTCATCGCCAAGCAAACAAAAGCGAATGAACAACTCATGACGCCCATGGAATGAAAATAGGGAAACATTTGTGTAGCATTTACATGTATTTTTTTCATCGGGTTCAACAGGTGGGTGAGAGGTTTTGCCTAGCAACATCGAGTCAAACTCATTTATTATTTTCGTGAATTGCATACTCAAGTTGGATCATTTATTTAAGTTCTCCCAGAAAAAAAAAACAAAAGAAAACTGGGACAACCTTCCTTCATTCTTATAGTGGGTTATTCTGGAAATTCTCCAAAAATAGAACACGTTTCGTGTTGGACTTTCGGCTTCGTCTTCGGGTTCAAATTTCGCATATATTATTTTGAAATCAAGCATCAATCTTTGTTTCGCATAAACATGCCTTGGACTCAGATTTTATGGATTAAAATGATTACTTCACAAGAATGTATGTTTATTTGCCGAAAAAACAAAACAATGAATCTGGTGCATGGCATCAATTCCTTTCAATTGAATTACTGTTGACTTTGACCTAGAGTTATGCTGACACATCCTATATTTCCGTTCATATAGATTTGATTGCATATCATAAAATATTAAATTGTGTGGATGTTGTCGGTGCTGAGCCGAGTATTCACTCAAGACACCCACCCCTGTCCCCACTTTTCGCGCGAGAGTCAAATTCTCCCTTGTCAAAACCTGTACGTTCTTGTTTCCTTACTGCGCACTACTTTTCTACGGTGAAGCAGACTGCTGCGTTGATGTGTATAACAATACGGGTAAAACACCGGCGCTCCGAGTCTTTTATACAAACTTCCCATGTAGACGATACGAAACAGGCAAAAATCGAAAAAAAGTTAATTTTTTTTTTCGATTCTCATATAGTATTTTTTTTTGCCCAATCCATTGGTGTTATCGCCACATCGAAATTCGCGCTCCTTATCACTTAATTTGCATCATATGATAAATGCGAGTGACGTCATCAATAGCTTGGGAATCAATTGAAATGAAACACACGAAAAAATATTCGAGTAACGAAACAATGTGATACAGATCCATTCATATGAAACAATGCGAGAGGATTCGTTCATAACGACACTGCAGACAAAAAATCTATCGAAACGGAACACCTCAAAGCGAAATACCTAAAACGGCACATGCTATGTTTCATTCTTACGGATTTCTTTTCCATGTTTCATTTTAATGGATTGCTTTATTTTTGTTTCGTATCTGTCTATTGAGCGGCGAATGTCTCATGTTCATTCCAAGCTCATCATATGAATTATGATCGAAATGGTTATGCTCGTGCCGAATATCTATACTATACATTTATGCAAGCAAAAGTGGAAAAGCAGAAATAAATCTTTGCAAGAAGTGAACGGCAAATTGTAACGGTCGAATTCTAAAGTAGAGAAATAAAGCAAACACAAAAAGGAAATTGGAATGGTTTTATCGTCACGATAAAATCCCATCTGAAATCATTCTCACATCGCGCGGTCTGAAAATATATTGAAAATGTTGGTAGGCCGCACACCGATTTCGCTTACGTCGATTAAATTCACATCAAGCCGACACACACAACAGATGTCATTAACGGCGGGGGAGCTTTAGAATATAAATATTATATTAAATATATGTGTAAGTCATTTGTATTGACAACTAATCCTCATTTATCAGTATGTTAATGTCTTGTTCTTCGATTTAAAAAAAATATATATAAAAAAAATAAACTAAGTTATTTAAGTCATAAATGTGATATTGCTGAAAACGGTCCATGTGAAACAAAAATAATATTTATTATAGTGCAAACAGAATAAATGGTAAATGGAAAAATAAAAACCAAAGCAAAAAATGATATTGACGGAAAAAGAGAGAAAAATAACCCTGGTGACATTCGCAAGGTATATGCTCAATGATGATGAAATTGAATTTATAACGCTATTTTCACGGAGTCTATTGTATACTCATTCACACTGCTGATGAATATTTTGAAAAGAGGAAAGAGACAACCATTTAATCTTAGTTAAATCTTTGATATTGTGCAAGTGAAAAGCAATCACTTTTCTCCGTGCAACTACAAATAGTGATGTAAATTATGTATGTGTCCATTAGTACTTGAATTGATTGATTGTGACAAAAAGATGGTGAGCGTCCGAGTGACCTATGAAATTTCACTCGATACACATTTTTTTTGTTTTCAATGTTAAATTTGCAGTTTATTCCCATTCGACGTTCTTTCTGGTTTCCTCATTTTTCCATTATTTATTTTGATACTTGCATTTTCTGGAACTATCTTGAAAGAATTGATGCTTTTCTACTTCTTTTACATTCTCCTCTTGTTCAAAAACACAAAAAACTTCCACTGAATGAACTTCGAACTGAATTTAGCAAAAAAAAACTGAACTAAACGAACTTGGAACTAAAGCAAGAAATAAATGAGCATGTTCATTTCGAAAACAAATCCTCTCATCAAATTGAAATTATAAAAAAGTCGACTTTACGGCGTACAGTGTGCGCACACCGAGCGTTGCTTAGTTACCATAGTTCTATCAAGGATGAGCTCCAATATCTCATTATAACTTATTGTGTGAAGGCAGCAAAAATGCATGAAAAAACTCAGAAAATAATATAAAACCCACGTAGTATATGTGGAAGCCTCGAATGAAAATGGTGCCAACAACGACATAGTGACATTTGAGCAGATCTCATTCGAAGCTTAATTGAAGAAAAATTGGAATACTTTTCACAAATAAATTAACTATCATCGAATCAGTACTGTTTTCTGACTGAAAAAAAACTTTCGGTTCGATCGAAATTATTCACAACTAAAAGTTCAGTTCGGTATATATTTGAATGGCCTGTATGTTATAATGAATTCAGTTTGGTCAGTTTTTGGGTTAATTTCGGCCGATTTCGGCTGATCCAAAAATTTCATACTGAAGAATATGAGGTTTCAGTGCGAAATAAAGACTTCAACTAATCTGAATGGGAGTGCGTATAACTTTAGTCAGAGCATGTTATGAGCTGATGTAAGCAGCACCAACAAACATTCGCTGCTGACGATTACTGCAAATGCGTCGCAAAGCATACTCGTCAGCAGCTGACGTCAGCTCATAACACGCTCTGATTTTAGTTAGGATATTGAATGGATTTTCATGAAAATGTCCCTTTTCCACATATTCTCAAAGCACAAAAAGCTCTTCATGCATGCAATTTTAGTGGCGTAATCGAATGAGTGTATGTCTGACCTTTCGACCAGACGTGTGCAAGGTCAAAAATTCTGGGGGGGGGGTAAAATGATTTTGCCCGAGGGGGGGGGGGGGAAATTTATAAATGGGTGTGAAAAAAATGAAGACCAAAAAAAGGTCCTCACTTCTGAAAATCGATTATATCTAGTGTCAAATTTTCCAAATCGCTGGGGGGGTCCACATTTTGGAATCCTAGAGGGGGGTAAAACCGGAATAACCCCCCCCCCCCTTGCACACGTGTGCTTTCGACGGGTCTTTATTTAATAATAATTTCATTTCATTGTATGGAATATATGTAATGGACAACTTGAAGAGAAAACTTTTTTTTGCTTCGTGGTATAACAACAGGGTTTCGACACGGGAAATTTTACTCAGTAAAATTAATATGTGAAGAATTTAGTGAAATTCCTTTTCTTATAAACATTTTTTTGGTGTAAAAGGCAAGTTCCAAACGGAACTTACATTATCCGGGACCGTCAAAAGGGTGATATAACCTGATTTCGCATTCATAATCTATTGAATTTGAATGGTGGAATAGAAAGAATTTTCCCCTATGCAAACATTTCTCCAGCACTCTAGCGCTTATGACTAGCCCGAGAACATTCTACTTTACATTCGAGCAGAGTCATTATGATTGATGACATTAGTAAACCGAAAATGATGAGATGAGAAAAAAAGACAAAGTACCGTCCATTTACTATTTACGATAAACTGTCAGATCCGAATGTAATTTTTCATTACACGTGGATGATTTCATGTAATAAAAATTCAGACATTTCTCATTTCATTTTCAAGAATTTTCATTGATTTCGAGACAAAGAACACAGGTAAATTATAGTTATTCGACCATAATAATACAAATCATTGTTTTTTTTCCACTGTTGATTGAATGAATTCATTTTTTTTTATTATTTCTTCGTTTCAATATTTGCTTATTTCTCAGTAAATTAAATCATTTTTTTTAACAAACATTTAAAACATTTTTTTCATTGGTAACGTTCATTTTAGAGCCTTGAGTACGCTGGCTATCCAGCTGCTGCTATTCAACATCCGATGTCAATGCATTTGGTATAGGCGAAACAATAAACAAAATATCTGATTATTTCTTCCCTATACTACATGCGTCGACAGTGGCTGTTGAACAGCACTGTTGAATACTATTCAATGAATAGCAGCGGCTGGATAGCCAGCGTACTTAATGTTCTGGTTCATTTCCAATTTTTTCTTACATCCTAACGTAGACTTTTCATCACAAAAAAAACCACAAAAAATCCATGATAAACTTCATTTTTCTAGTAATAATTCATCTGGAGGTAATAAAAACAATTTATCACCTTAAATTTGAAGCAACGCAAATGATAATTGTTTATCATACAGAAAATAAATATACATTTTCGACTCATATAGTTGTTGTTAAATCAAATTTGTTTCATTTTATGATAATTTTCGAATATACTTGATTCAGTTTGCTATAAACAAAACAGCGTTAATACCTGTGCTTTGAAGCGGTTTTATTCGGGAAAGTGATCCAAAATTAAGGCAAGTAGCGAAAATAAATGATAAAAAGTATCACAAATTGTGATTCACAATCACATTCAAGTATATAATTGATGGTATTCCAGGGGTATCATGTGAAGAAGTAACGGTGTGACTCCTGTTGTCATATGTAAATACATCTATGGAGGAGAATGTGTTGATGTAATTTTTTGCTTGAATGGAATGTGTTGGTTCCATGGGATGAACATGTGTTTATACACATTCAGACTAACAACGTTTACTGTGCTTCATGCAAGCGCGCACCGTTGACGATAATAAAATGACGTTTTACAACAATAACAATACGACGAGCAATGATTGTTTTGATAAATGTCAGCTGGCAGCTGAAACATGCGCATAGATTCTTAATCGTTCATCATCATTTTGCCATTAGAACGCGCGGCACAGCCGGTACCATTTTTGTTTCTTTCTTCTTCTACTTCAAAATGCATAACCTATATCATGGCCATGGTTATAAATCTCATGTTTTGTTACACATTTATGATGCTCGTATATGCCAGCTCGTTCTAAATTCGCAATAAATAGCATGGTCGCGCTCGCGCCGGATCTATGATGCTCGAATAATTTTATATGCGAATAAAGTAGCCGTTTTTCACAGTTACCATTCGAATATTTATTTGCGCCATGTGACTTCAATGCAACCGAAAAAAAGTTATTGTCGCACTTGCAGCTAAACTCCGGAAGTAAATCATTGATTGATAAACTTAATGGTTTCAAATGCGTCGTTAAATCATTGAATCATGCTTATGTATGGATTTTTGCATCATTTCATCATCAACTTTTTTTTACCATTTACGCAATCATAAAATATCGTATCTTTGTTCTTTCATCGAACTCCAGCGCATTCGTCATGTTTATTGGTTTCGCGTACAAATCCACTTCGGAATTCAATTTTCCCATCCACCAAAAATGGAACACAAACTCGGTTGCCATCGTCCGTTCACAAATGGAACACGAAATTCAAAACGATTCGCACAATGATTCGAAACAATAACAGGCACCGAAATGAAAAAACAAGACCGCAGAGCTTCGCTTCGTTCTTGAGTTTTTAGTTATTTAATCTATTTTGTTCTTTCACAACAAACTATTTTTTGGCGCACTACATGTAATGTATTTCGTCAACGTAACTTTGAAATAATATATTTATTTTCAAAATGAATCACAAGATCTTGGTTTTAATTCTTTTTTGAAATATACTGTCTTTGGTTTAAATTAAATGAATAATATGAGCATCGAACCTAAAATCACTTTAATTCTGTTTAAGACTCAGAAAAATACTATACGAAAAATTAATGTAATTTTTAAAAAACATTTGATAATAAAAATTTGATTGGCGCTTTGAGATGTTGTGCACTTATTTGTCGTTAGTGCACCTGTTTTAAATTAAATAAAAAATATGAGCATAAAATTCAAATTCACCATAATTTGTTTCAACACTCAAAAAGTATCTAGGAAAAAAAAGAGCAGATTAGTAGCTCTACATTTCATGTAGTGCTAAAAACAGGACAGAATATTTATTCGCATTCAGCTATTATTTTTTTGCACGCCCATGTCGTGAGTAAAAGTATTGTAATCACTCCAAAACCTGGGTACCCCGAAAATCCATTTTTCTATCCATTTTCGACACCAAAAAGCAGGATACAGTGGTTATTTTGCTATGTTAATGTGGGTGTGTTGACCCTGTACGCTGTACGCTGTACACAAAAATTTGTTAGCACGATTGCTCAAATGCCAGAATTGCAAATGAAATTCTGCAAGTACCAAACATTTGTGCTTCGCTAGACTTGGAAACCATTAAATTTTCAGCCACCCCAGATGTACCCTAGGATACCTAGCCTATGAAAAACCTTCAAAAAATCGAACTTTTGATCGGGACCCGGATGAACGCGATACGCTTTGATGAAAGCCTACAGTCGTTCGATGAGGCTTTCATAATTTTTATACAGTC